GATGGCTTGTTTTGGCAGGTTCCATGGTCTGGTGTAATAACAAATCACTCAACATCCCCATTTGCTGAAGACATATATGAGAGAATAAAAGATTCTCTTATAGAGTATGAAGTGGTGATTAGTCGATGGCCACAATACACACTGATCTTGGAAAATGTAAGCTACAAAGTTTTATAAGTGATTAGTTTGTGGCTTACTGGATCGTTACCAAGACTAACTGAGGTTAACTCATTTTTTCATGTATTCTTTTGGAAGACTGCTTCAATCGTAGAGAGAGCCATTGTTAAATCATTGGAGAAGCAATATAATGACATTCTAATTCCTTTAAAAGATAGCATTCCAAAGAGGCTAAATATGCATGTCCAGAAGCTGACAAGAAGGCAATCATCGGTTCTCTACTCTGTTCCAACTCAAGTAAGAGCCACACACCAATCCTGTTCAATAGAAGTTCTTAAAATTCGGACTTGCTCGTAGTATTTGTGGTGAACATCATTATCTCTTGTTGATTGCAGCTCGGAACTTTCGTCAACACAATAAAGAGAATTCTTGATGTTCTACATCCCAGAGTTGAAGATATCTTGAGACAATGGGCTTCGTGTCTTCCTGTTGTGGAAGACAAGAAGTTACTCTTTGGGGAGCAGATGAATGTAATCACGGTCTTGCTCAGGACAAAATACAGAAACTACATGCAGGCCGCGGTTGATAAACTCGTTAGCAATGTAAGTTCTATAACACCTCGTATCCACTGCATTTGTGAATCCATGCATGTTTTAACAATCTCTGTGTGTGTGTGTGGATGTTTCAGACGCAATCAAACAAAAACACAAGGCTAAAGAGAATCTTAGAAGAGATAAAAGACAATGAGAGAGAAGTCGAAGTCCGTGAACGTATGAAGATGTTATGCTCACAAATCACAGACTCAATCTCAAATCTGCATGATGTCTTCACAAGTCAGATATTTGTGGCTTCGTGCCGCCTTTTCTGGGATAGAATGGCACAGGTGGTCTTGAAGTTTCTTGAAGGAAGAAAAGAGAATGAAGTAGGCTACAAAGGCTCTTACTATGCTCTTGGGGTAAGTAATTAAAACCTTAACCTCTAAACCATAAAATAGAGAATGTATTTGGTATTGAAATTGAGTTGTGATCAAATGTGCAGATAGTTGAGGACACGTTCGCATCAGAAATGCAGAGGCTACAAGGGAACTCACTACAAGAGAAGGATATGGAAGCTCCTCGTTCGGTGATTGAGGCACGTTCCATTCTCTCTAGAGACAACAATGCCAATCACTCTTCTTACTTCTATGTCTAGCTTAATATTTTCATTCCATTCCATTCATTTGTTTGTTATATCGTATATATAAAACGTTCCAACAACAACAATTCTTATATGGTCGTTCATAATCATACCATCCTTTTAATATACTACTTTTGTCCCATTGACTCGACCTAGTATCTTTTTAGATACACTACAAATGTGCTTCCATTTTTAACAACTCATTTCACTTATTTGATATGAGATGGCTCCAGTGGAAACCATCGCTGGTAAGGATCTGAAATAGTAAAAATAAGAGCCAAAGTATAAACCCTCAACGGTATTCATTAAGCTTTTTCAGGTGTCAATGTTACATAGAAACTATTCTAAGATAAGATTGAGATAAACAAACAAATTGGAGCAAACCGTAAATACTAAAATTTGCATTGCTTCGTAGCGTAACGGATATACGGAGTTTTCAAATCAAACCAAAACGAATAACGGACTAAAGCGAATTCTTACGGATATTTTATTAAAATTAAGTATCCGTTAAGATCGGAGTAAATCATAAATACTAAAAATTTAAGAGACATATATATTGCACATTAATTATTCATATATGGGAGTTTTATGAATTTTTATTCATTCAATTAATTATTTGAATATTTAATTTTGACAAAAAGAACTTTTTAAAAATGAAATATTGTTATTTATGGTTTAAATTTTGAATTTTTTACAATTTTTATTTTTTATAATTACTTTTAAACGTTTACGGAACGAATCCGACATCTAATAAATAATCCGGATTTAACCAGATATCCAATAACTTCAGTAACTTGTGGAGCGGATATTGGATAGATAAATTAATAATCCGGACAGAGCGAAGCAAATCACGAATCATACATATAAAAGAAGGGTTTCACTCTCTCTTGATTGGTCCACTTGGCAATTTATTTTAAAAAAAATAAATATTTATTTGTAATTAAACTACATATACAACACATTTAATCATATATAAATCCACACTTTAATACCAAGTTATAACTGAAATCATAATAATTGAAATCATAAATATTATGTATTAATTTTTTTCATCCACTCAATGTCATTCAAACACACAATTATTATAATTGTAACTCCCACAATTAATTATTTTTATAAATATAACTTCCATCACTTTTCATCCTATAAATACTCATTCTCTCATTCTCATCCATCATATCTAAATTAAAATCCTAAATTCTTTGTTTCTTATGTTATTGCATGGGTTGAAAAATCAATTGAGACATCATTGTAAGAGTTATATTTTTATAATTTTCATATATTTTAGTTCAAAATCATATATGTATAATGAAAATCTTGATGATTATAATAATATTTTTAGATGTATCGATGGAGATTCAAAAATATCAATTCCACCCATCGCAATATCGCATAACAAGGAAATTAAGTTGAAGAGATCAATCTCCATTCTCTACTTTTGATGTTTGATTATTTTCTCACATATTCATATATCTTTATAATGAAACAAATTATTGTAATATATTTAAATCGATTTTCCTTACTTCTTTTTTTATATCAAATAATTATATGTAACATTTTTAATATACTCATCCCTTCATTTTTTTTATCCATTACATAATTATATAAAGATCATTATAATGTCTTATTTATTCAATGTTTTTGGTTTTAATTTTTTCCTTTCTATAAGTTACTTCTTTCATATCTCAAATATTTTTTTTTCTAACATATATATTTAGTATACTCATCATTACATTTATTTTTTATGATCCAAGAGATATTCATATAAGGTATTTTATTCAATTGTTTCAAATTGCTTTCTAGAAAAAAATATTAATTAAAAAGATAGATAATCCAACATAGCAATGTAAATCCTACAAATATAAAATCATTATAATGAAACCTTGCTCTATAATTTTAATTGAGTGGAATAAGCAAATAGAAGTATATTTGAAGATTATTTTAAAGCTTTAAATTGTAGTTCATATATTTTTGTAGAAAACAGATTTAGTTTGTCACTTCCAAATTGATTTAAATTTTAACTATTAAATACTTTATGTGCGATTTTATATGAAAAAACAAAATTGTAAATTTGAATATCATAGTAATAAATACATTTACGTTTTATCCAAAAAAACGTAAAATCAAAGTTAGTAACTCATACTAAATCATTAAAAAAACATCACGTAACCCCACTAAAGTACATTTACTACTTTATTTAAATCATATTGATCATAATTTATAATTTGAATGGTTTCCCTACTAATTCTACAAAAATTTTAACTTCTTAAATGCATTTATTTTCTAAATAAATATAACTTCCATCACTACTAATCCTAGAGATAATAATGCATAAAAAATTATAAAACAAATCATGCTAAGCCACGCGTAGCGTGGATACATACACCTAGTATTACTAAAAGCTAGGATTTTTGCTCCATGCTCACCTCTAATTGCTAGGGCTAGGAATAAATTCTGAACATTATTAACCAAACTGAAACCCAAGCCATGTTTAGCTACTTCGGTTTGATTCGAAAACATTTACTTTGGTAACTAGTTTGGTTCGGTTCAAAATTTTCAAACGATCGCTTTTTCTTTTTAATATCTAGTATTTATTTGATTGTACAGAATTTTTTTTACAAAAACCTAAATTCTAAAATAATGGACTTACCAAATATATTGATTTTTTTTTAACTATACAGAAAATTCGTTGAAAAATGGAAATTTGGTAAGTTCAATGAATTTTCTCACTAGAAAATGCAAACATGAATGGATTACCAAAGTAAAGCAAAAGATAGAGGATTATATAGTCATTTAGCGGGCATGTGGTGTAGTAACCCGTATTTTGACATAAAAGCGGTCGGGACGGACGGTCGTGAAGTCGCGGTCCAGACTAAAATTTGGAAGTTAAGAAAAAGAGTTTGGCTTTCGTTAGTGATAATTGGAAGCATGAAAGGGAACTTAATCATCAAAGAAAAATAATAGTTACCGAGAAAAGATGGTTTCGGTACGAGAAAAGCTTGTCGTAGATCGACCGGTGAGCGTTACGCCGTGTTCGATAATTTTAGAAATTTAAGAGAGGTCATAATAAGTCGGGGGTAAACTTATGATCGTTAAGGGTTGTAGAGAATATTGAGTAAAAATTATTTACTTGACAAAAATAATTTTTGGTTGCAATCGGGTGTTGTTGAAGGATCGGACCAAGCGTAAACCATGTCGTGTTAAGCGAACGGAGTTAAGAAAATTAATCGGATGGAAGAGATTAATTTTTGGAGGCATGAACCTCGAGAAAGATGTTGTAGACAAGATCCCCCGATTTTAGGGATATGTCTTAGGAGTAGTCGTCGTCGGAAGAGAATTACCGACATTGCTCGTAAGTGATGCGACATGGGTGGAAGCTCTCCGCCAATCGGAGGAAACGATTTGACGAGAGTATGGTTGTTCCGCCATTTGTCGTAAGTGATGCGACATGGGTGGAAGCTCTCCGCCAATCGGAGGAAATGATTTAACGGGAGTATGGTTGCTCCGCCATTTGTCATAAAGGATTTGAAAAGCTGGGTGGAAGCTCTCCGCCAATAGGGAGAACCGATTTGACGAGGGTTTGAGTTTACCGCTATTTGGCGCAAACGATTTGACGAGGGTCTAAGGCCGTCGCCATTTGTCGGGATAGATGTGTCTGCCATGCGCCACCCTTCCTTTCCTATAAATACCAAGGCTTCAAGGCTAAAGGCATTCACTCGAGAATGAATAGAGTTCGTGAGAGAGCTCTCTGAAACTTTCCGGAGAAGTGTTGCCTGACCGCTGAGAAGCCGACAGAGGGAGGACGAGGACGAGTTTCTGGAGCGCGCACTAGTCTCCGTGAGCGAGTCCGTGGATGAGTTCCGGGAGAAGAAGAAGTTTCCGAGAACGTGTTCCGAAATTGAAGATTTCCGATCTGAGTCAAGATCCGCTAAGACATCACATCACACATTCCTTCTGTTAATCACAGTGAGTTCCAAAGCGTGTGTGGTGGCACATGATTTTCTTTACTTGCTTGATTGTTCGTTGATTGTTGTTGGTTGTTGTTGATTGTTGTGTTATTGTGGTTGATAATCGTAGAACTACTTATATATGCTTATTGCTTAAGTACGCTTTGTCGTAGCTTAGTTGCTTTGCATATAGAGTTTTGTGGTGTTCAAAAGCGTTTCTCTGTTTTTTTTATTGGGTTCGGAGAGACTGGGTCGCTCCCAAGGGCCGAACAGTTGCCTGACGAGGTAACGGGAATTGCCCGTCGTGGAAGGCCCATGTGGTACATCGTTTATAGACTTTGTGGCTGTAAACGGACTGTTCACTTGTTCGATAGGAAGGATCGTTCACATGGCCATAGGATTTGTTGTTGTTGTTATCATTTACCCTTGCATGCATCGTAGTTATTGCATAATTGCTACATCTCTGATTTATTTAATTGTCGTAATCACATGATATTGATTTTTGTTTGCATGTTGCTTGTTATTGCTTGTTGCTTGCTTGCTTGTTTATCTTCTGTTGGGGCTTTGTGGTGTTTAATTTCCGAGATTAGGTACCGAACTCGCTAAGTCTCTAGTATTTATGACTCCACCTTTTTGTTGTAGGTAACCTTAGAGGGATAAACCATAGAGAATTCGTTGGAACAATAGGTTCTTGGTGTAGATTGGTTGGGTAGAAGTGTAAAGGATGTTATTGTGTATTATATACTGTTGAAATGGGATCCCCGAAAACTTTATATGATTGTTTGGTATCTTGTTGTGTAAAAGTTATACTATGTATAAAAAGGTTTTCATAAAAATGGGGATGATTTGATGATATAAGGTTCTATCCAAACCGCATAACTTTCTTTCTCGGTAGAGGGTTGGCAAGCCTAATATCGGGTTCGGAAGGGACGGTACTAAGTATTGGTAGACTGGGGTGCTAGTTATGTGCTAAAACTCCGTTCCGCTCATACAAAGTATTCGTCACCTGTACGGGCCTAGCCGGACTTATTTCTAGTACGGTTCAGGGTCGCTAAAGTTTTAGGTGGTATCAGAGCATGGTTACGGATGCTTGGGAACCATCCCACTTTTCAAATGTTTTATCGAGTCAAAAATTAGAGTCGCACTTCTACCTTAGGATAAACCAAGTTGTTCCAACGTGGGATTTAAGTATATAGGAATTTTAGGACTAACCTTGTTTTGGTTATGCAGATGCCGTCGCGACATACTAGGCTTTGGGGTGGACGACCGTGGGGATTTTCGTCGAGTGCTGGACCAAGTAACAATCCGTATGGGAATAATGATGGTAGTTATGACGATTCTGTGATTCCGTCGGAACATGTGTGGCGAATGTTGGAATGGTCTGAATCAGAGTCTTTCATGGCTACGAGTCCGTCAGTGACTTCGGTTGAATCTATTCCTACGAGGGAGATGGAAGGATCGGATAATTTCGTCGAGATTGACCCGTCGAAAGATCTTGATGAGTTTGAGGATGACGATGTCGAGACTAGTGCAGAGTTTGACGAAGTCGTGCCTTTGGTTGCTTTGGGAGGAAATTTCGAGAATGTTCCGATCACTGACTTTGTTGTGCTTTCCGATGATTCTGATGGTGGTTCTTCGGAAGAGTCTGAAGAGCAGATGGCAACTGGTTATCTCTTTGGAGATAGTGACATTGATGAGCCTATGTGGGAAGGCCCAGATGGAGTTCTGTATGAGTTTAACTCTGATGATTCGTGGCAGCCAGGAGTTCACGCGAATCTGTACTATTATCCTTCGACGCCAGATAGCTTATTGACGTTGGATTCGTTCAGCTCAATGTCCTTGGGGACAGACTTTGGTGTTTCTGATGCGCCTTTGGAAGGTAATGCCTCGCGCGATTCTGACTGTGTTGTGTTTAGACCGACAGAATATGGGATTCCTAGGAAAGCGCTGGCTTCCAACATTGTGTCGCCCGATGTCGAATTTGCTACACCACCTAGTCCGCCAACTCCGAACTTTGTTGAGATCTTGTCGGATAATGAGTTATCTGATGCGGATGAGTTGGATGGAGTGCCATTTTCCAACTGTATGAAGAGCGAAATGCCGAGCGAAATGCCGAAGATGTCTATTTCGCCAAGGAGATTTGCGAGTAGGACTTGGTATGATGGGCATGATGGAGCTAACAGTAAGATGTTCCATATGTGTTCTGAGAATAAAGAAGTGGATGAAGAAGTACTGGATCCTACGTTTGAGTGTAAGACTTTACCGGAAACTCCGCCATCTGTTGAGGAGCCGGGAGTGTTGTTCCTCCGGATGAGTCGCTTCGTGAGCCGGTGACTTTGGGATCTAGTTCCATGGCTACGATGATTGAGAACATGATTGATACGGGTACCCTTGGTATTGAATTGATCCGACCACTCGAAGGCATGCCTGTTTGGAATGAAAGAATAAAGAGATCCGCGGATGGAACCGTTGTGACTGAGATGGAGCGTGAGGATGGACGTAGGTCCGAACCTTATAGTGTGACGCTGTTTTGCTTCACTTGCGGCCAAGATGGTCATTACCCGAGGGCTTGTCATTATCATCCTTATGCTCGCCCGTACGTGATCTGTTATGGGTGTGGTGATGAAGGTCACTATGCGACCGTGTATCCTAGGAAGCGTCCAGAGAATCCCGGTCCGTCAAGCCCAAGCCCGAGTACGTCTGCGAAGAAGAAGAAGAAAAACCTTAGTATTAACTAGGATTACCCTAAACCTTCAAACCGTTGGGTTCCGGCGAGGTAAGTATGGGTTCTAACTCATTGTATGATTTCGTGTAGCATTTTATTCTAGCATTGCATTTAGGATTGTACTATATTTGGTTTATAATCCCTTCGGCGAAGAGTATGGGAGCAAGTGTGTAGTGGTTATAAATCCGCAATTATAAGAAAGTTTGAATGGGTATGTATAAACCCACCGTTGTAAGAAAGAATGTATGATATGAATGTAAGATATGTTTATGGATTGAACAAAGTCTTATCGTTGGATAACTTTGTGTGTTGTGTTGTGTTGTGAAGAGGAAAAATGTGGTGATGTGATGCGGAAAAGTATTGTGATGTGTGAATGTATATGGAAGTACAAAAAGGAAATTTTGTGTTGTGATGTATGAATGTACATGGAAGTACAAAGAGGAAATTTTGTGTTGTGATGTTTGTTTAATCATCTATGGGAAAAAGGATGAGTGTTGTAAAGAAAACTTTCAAAAATATGTAAATTTTTGAAGTATTTGAAAGAGTTTTAGTTTATCTATGTGAGATAACTAAAGTGGTATTGTGATGTTTAAGTCTCAAGTGACGAAGTTCTTGAGATTAAACGATCAAGTATGAGATCGTGTAAGTAAAAAAGAAAGGAACCGGATCAAGTGAAAGGATCGCGGGTTTACCTTAATATGTTGTTTTTGTGTTCAATTTGAGAAGTGCTGATCTTCGAGAATGAGTGTAGATCCAAGTGTTGAATCTTCGAGAGATTTAAACTTAAGTGTGTGATTGATCATGAGGTTATGGTCGAAACACAGAGTTAAACATGTCAGAATTAAGATTCATTCAAGACAAAGAAGAAAGTCTTGAATTTTCAAATTCACGAGCTAAAGAGTTAAGAGTGGTTGAGAAATTCGTCTGATTATAGAATTTGAGTTCTATGAATAAGTTTGGAGATAATCGGTAAGGATTAGAGAGAATCCAAAACCGAAAACTTTGCAAAAAGGGTAGAATTTCAATTCGACTAAGCTGAAAAGTTTAAAAGGATTGGAGTAACCAAGAAGTTCAATGTTGAAGAGTTAGACAAGAGGAAGTTCTTACTGAAGTAAGGAACGTTGACGATTTCTCTGATTGGGAATTCGGGACGAATTCCAATGAGAGGGGGTGAATGTAGTAACCCGTATTTTGACATAAGAACGGTCGGGACGGACAGTCGTGAAGTCGCGGTCCAGTCTAAAATTTAGAAGTTAAGAAAAAGAGTTCGGCTTTCGTTAGTGATAATCGGAAGCATGAAAGGGAACTTAATCATCAAGGAAAAATAATAGTTACCGAGAAAAGATGGTTTCGGTACGAGAAAAGCTTATCGTAGATCTACCGGTGAGCGTTACGCCGTGTTCGATAATTTTAAAAATTTACGAGAGGTCATAATAAATCGGGGTTAGACTTATGATCGTTAAGGGTTGTAGAGAATGTTGAGTAAAAATTATTTACTTGACAAAAATAATTTTCGGTCGCGATCGGGTGTTGTTGAAGGATCAGACCAAGCGTAAACCGTGTCATGTTGAGCGAACGGAGTTAAGAAAATTAATCGATGGAAGAGATTAATTTTTGGAGGCACAAATCTCGAAAAAGATATTGTAGACAAGATCCCCCGATTTTAGGAATAGTTCTTAGGAGTGGTCGTCGTCGGAAGAGAATTATCGCCATTTTTCGTAAGTGATGCGACATGAGTGGAAGCTCTCCGCCAATCGGAGGAGACGATTTGACGAGAGTATGGTTGTTCCGCCATTTGTCGTAAGTGATGAGACATGGGTGGAAGGTCTCCGCCAATCGGAAGAAACAATTTGACGGGAGTATGGTTGCTCCGCCATTTGTCGTCAAGGATTTAACAAGGGTGGAAGCTCTCCGCCAATCGGGAGAACCGATTTGACGAGGGTTTGAATTTACCGCTATTTGTCGCACACGATTTGACGAGGGTCTAAGGCCGTCGCCATTTGTCGCGATCAATGTGACGAGGATGGGAGTGTTCCGACATGTGTCACGACGGATATGACGGGCGTAAGGAATGCTTCGCCATTTGTTAGGAGCGATTTGATGAAGGTAGAGCAACCTCCGACAAGTGTCGCCAGAGGCGCGACATGTGTCTGCCATGCGCCACCTTTCCTTTCCTATAAATACCAAGGCTTAAGGCATTCACTCGAAAATGAAGAGAGTTCGTGAGAGAGCTCTCTAAAACTTTCCGGAAAAGTGCTGTCTGACCGCCGAGAAGCCGACGGAGGGAGGAGGAGGACGAGTTTCCGGAGTACGCGCCAGTCTCCGTGAGCGAGTCCGTGGACGAGTTCCGGGAGATGAAGAAGTTTCTGAGAACCTGTTCCGAAGTTGAAGATTTTCGATCTGAGTCAAGATCCGCTAAGACATCACATCACATCACACATTCCTTCCGTTAATCACAGTGACTTCCGAAGCATGTGTGTGGTGGCACATGATTTTCTTTACTTGCTTGATTGTTTTTTTATTGGTGTTGGTTGTTGTTGATTGTTGTGTTATTGTGGTTGATAATCGTAGAACTAATGCGGATTTATAGTTCATGTTATATATTCTTATTGCTTAAGTACGCTTTGTCGTTGCTTAGTTGCTTTGCATATAGAGTTTTGTGGTGTTCGAGAGCGTTTCTCTGTTTTTTTTATTGGGTTCGGAGAGACTGGGTCGCTCCCAAGGGCCGAACAGTTGCCTGACGAGGTAACGGAGATTGCCCGTCGTGGAAGGCCCATGTGGTACATCGTTTATAAACTTCGTGGCTGTAAACTGACTATTCACTTGTTCGATGGGAAGGATCGTTCACATGGCCATAGGATTTGTTGTTGTTGTTATCATTTACCCTTGCATGCATCGTAGTTATTGCATAATCGCTGCATCTCTGATTTATTTAATTGTCGTAATCACATGATATTGATTGTTGTTTGCTTGTTGCTTGTTTATTTTCTGTTGGGGCTTTGGGGTGTTTAATTTCTGAGATCAGGCGCCACACTCGCTAAGTCTCTAGTATTTATGACTCTACCTTTTTGTTGCAGGTAATCTTAGAGGGATAAACCATAGAGGGTTCGTTAGGACAATAGGTTCTTGGTGAAGATTGGTTGGGTAGAAGTGTAAAGGATATTATTGTGTATTATGTATTGTTGAAATGGAATCCCCGAAAACCTTATATGATTGTTTGGTATCTTGTTGTGTAAAAGTTATACTATGTATAAAAAGGTTTTCATAAAAATGGGGATGGTTTGATGATATAAGGTGATATAAGATCCAAAGCTTGGTGATAGGAGATGGAGTCACGGGAAGCAGCAAGCTGGCTTTAACGCTCTCTCTTGTTGTTCAATGGATGGATGCGAAGATAGATATGGGATCAAACGAGCTGGCAGTCGCTCTCTCTCGTTGGATCGATTGATGGTTTTGATGGTGGATCGAGGATCTCCACTCAAAGGTGTGACAGCCGTTGTGATGAGATCACGAATCTAGACCTTAATGAATCCACAAAAAGGACATAGACGCAAACGTTTACTAAGTAAAGAAATCCACCTAACTTAGATAAACAAAAACAAAGCCAAAACTTTAGAGAAAATTCTCTCTTTTATATTCCAAAAATCTATATCTTTACAATGAATAGAGAAATAAGTTTATATAGATTCAAATTACAAATCATCAACATAAATACAAAGTAAATCAAACTAATTACATAAATAAATCAAGAATTAATTTTGAGAGATTTTGTCAATCGTCATTAATGGAGATTGGTTCTTTGTATCTACACACTTTCTTCATACTCCTTTAAATTTGGGCTTAATTTTTATTGAACCATTTGTTGATGGGCCATAGATGTTAAACGTATTTTCAAGATTGCATCATTCTCTTCTTCTTCAAAATGTTTTGTCCTCAAAACTAAAACAAGATTTTTTTTTTTTATTTTGGTATTTTTATTTGTACACAAAACAGAATGTTAAGTTCTATGGGCTTCCAACTCAAAACCAATTGGCAATGAGTGGAGTGGCCCATATCCCTTTATATATTACTTAGGATCCCTTCCAACTTCCGATGTGGGACATTATGTCCTAATATGTTAAGTTCTATGGGCTTCCAACTCAAAACCAATTGGCAATGAGTGGAGTGGCCCATATCCCTTTATATATTACTTAGGATCCCTTCCAACTTCCGATGTGGGACATTATGTCCTAATACGCCCCCTCGAGATGATGGCTCTTTGGCCATTAATCTCGGAATATTCGGGCTTAGATCGACGGCATCAATTTTGGGCCTTGTCGATGATTGGACCATCTTTGGGTCGGATCGGGTTGGACATGTGTGGATCGGGCTCTGATACCATGTTAAGTTCTATGGGCTTCCAACTCAAAACCAATTGGCAATGAGTGGAGTGGCCCATATCCCTTTATATATTACTTAGGATCCCTTCCAACTTCCGATGTGGGACATTATGTCCTAATACAGAAAAACTGAAAAACATTTTGTAGATATAGACTTTTTAAAAAAAAAGAATTTGGAAAATAAATAGAACTTAGCTGATATATATTTTGTTTTTGTGGAAAGTTTTTATGGACGAAAATTACAAAATCACAAGAATATTAAATAAAAACTATTAAAAAAATTTTTTTTATAAAATCAAAGAACAAAAACATGAAACTTTTTTTTTTTTGGATTTTCTATAAAACTTAAAACAAAAAAAAATGAAATTGAAAACTGTAGAGGATATGAGCTTTTAGCTCTGATACCAAATGATATAAGATCCAAAGCTTGGTGATAGGAGATGGAGTCACGGGAAGCAACAAGCTGGCTTTAACGCTCTCTCTTGTTGTTCAATGGATGGATGCGAAGATAGATATGAGATCAAACGAGCTGGCGGTCGCTCTCTCTCGTTGGATCGATTGATGGTTTTGATGGTGGATCGAGGATCGCCACTCAAAGGTGTGACAGCCTTTGTGATGAGATCACGAATCTAGACCTTAATGAATCCACAAAAAGGACATAAACTCAAACGTTTACTAAATAATGGAATCCTCCTAACTTAGATAAACAAAAACAAAGCCTAAGCTTTATAGAAAATTCTCCCTTTTATATTCCAAAAATCTATATCTTTACAATGAATAGAGAAATGAGTTTATATAGATTCAAATTACAAATCATCAACATAATGGAGATTGGTTCTTTGTATCTAGACACTTTCTTCATACTCCTTTAAATTTGGGCTTGATTTGCATTGAACCATTTGTTGATGGGCCATAGATGTTAAACGTATTTTCAAGATTGCATCATAAGGTTATGTCCGAACCACATAACTTCGTTTCTCGGTAGAGGGTTGGCAAGCCTAATATCGGGTTCAAAAGGGACGGTAATAAGTATTGGCATACTAGGGCGCCAGTTGTGTGCTAAAACTCGAGTCCGCTCATACGAAGTACTCGTCACCTGTACGGGCCTAGCCGGACTTATTTCTAGTACGGTTCAGGGTCGCTACATGTGGTGCACCAGAATCCATTGAAAATCAAATCACTTGTTTATAATCATTGAAAATTTTACCTTATCTTCAGAAGATTATTTGGGGAAGGAAGTATTGATTAAAATATATGTGCACACGTAAGAATCATGCCAAACTTATCATCAACGAATCCACTACCTACCTAATCGTTGCTTTCATAACCAAAAAAAAACTTGAAATGTTAAATGAATGAATGATACAAATTAAAAAATTGATCATGAAAAAGAAGTGAAAGAAAGCAAAAAAAATAATCTTGTGGATTATATTGTTCGACAACGGAAGGGGAAACAAATAACTTGAGAAGTGTTGAATAAAATGCTAAAATATTATAATAATAA